AATTTGTCAATTCATAAAAAAAAATCACTGGATATCCGTCCAAAAGACAGTTTTAACGTGTGAAATGCAATGTCTCTTAAATTCTTTTAATTCTGCTAATGTTGTTGCACGTTTAATGTGTCTAGGCTTCGAATTGAAAACATTTATTCCTCTAAAATATAATGAATTCTGTGAAGCACAAGTCAAGAAATGTGGTGTTCTTATTTCATCCGCGTTTCTAGTATTATAGAGAACTAATATACCGGTCGGTTCTGGAATTTGATACGGGATCGACTGTAAACATGCTCTCATCGGTGAACAGGATTACTGGATTTTTTTGCTTAAGGAAGTTCAAGATTTTCTTGCATCGTTCGACTCGTAACTCCCGGATGCGGTTGGTAATGATGTGAGTTTTTTTTCCGTTCCCTCGACTTCGCCCCGCAATCTTCCTTTACAATCTTCCGTGCCTTAAAGTCACTGATCCCGTGTTCCTTTGCCATTTTCCTTATTGAACGCACTGGATTCACCCAAATCTTCCTTTTGATAGCAGCGATAGCCCTCGGAACCCGAGCTGACCTCGGACGACCTGTGGCCACCTTCTCGGATAGTTGTCCATTCTTTTCTCGGTCTAAAACCCTTTTGACGGTCCACCGGGACACTCCCACGGCGATTGAAATGTCTTTTTGCGACATTTGCGCGTGGGACAAATCACGAATACGCTGCAACTGTCAAACTAAGTACATCATTTTCTTTTATACACAACCTACTACGGTATGAGCTATAGGTTATGTGCATGCAAAGAAAACCAAGGCATTGTATGCACAGGTGAAACGGGAATCTTATTTGTACGATGGTGCAAACATTTTCACGCATACGGTAAAACAAGGAGAAGGAACGTAAGAACTGCCCAAGTAACCAAAAGTTCTGATAAAAAGCTATTTATGGCTTGGTTGAAGGTGGTCTATAGAATTCTAAGCAGCCTCATTTTTAAGTCGTTATAAGAACTTGAAAGTTCCGGTACCATAATTGAAGAGCATTCTAAGCAGCCTCTGGCGGAACTTGAACGGAACTTTTAGAAAATAAATTAAAAAAGGTTTTTGTCCTCTACACCAATTCTATATTTAGTTCGCACTTTTATGAAAGTTATTTCTAAAGGCAGGTATTAATGTGTATTGATTTATCAGCATTAGTATTAGTAATGGAGCTGTTTGAAGAATTAAACCCAGTCCTTTTGCGTGAGAGTCTCAGCACGAACCACTACGTCATCTGAAATATATTAAAGTGAGCTGTTGTCCCGCCTATTGTTGGAGTTTTCTGTGCCAGCTGACTGACTTTAGTACGAAACACAACACCTTGATGAATTTAAATTGGTTTTTGCCCACATGGTATTCCATCACACTTGTGGCGCAGTGGTTAGCAATCGTAGATCACATGCCGAATACAAGGGTTCGAATCCAGGAATTTTTGGATGGAATGGAATGTTGCATAAATATAAGAATTATGATTCATTCGGGCCACTGATTATTTCATATTTACGTAGGGGAAATGACGGCTTCGACATGACAGACTATCTTCGGCAACCCAAATTGAAACACTATTTTCACTGGATTTTCTTACGAAAACACTTCGCTGAATGCATGCAAACGATTCTATATGCTTTCAGCTACAATTTGACTATATTTTTACCACTTAGAAAAAGCAATCTAGCAAGGTTTTCTTGAAATGCAACACACGCACTACAAATTGTAGCTGATTTCGAGTTGCCGATAATAGAGCAGCAGATTTACATGCAGTTCAAATGGAACGGTTGCCGAAGAAAAACTGGTTGCCGACAATACTCGCTCTCACTAGAGAAGATTGGAGCTTTGTAAAAGCGTTTCAAAACAGTTTTTGACAATTCTTTCGACTGAAATTGCTAGATCAGCTGGCAGCAAAAGATTGTAAACAAACCAGTACTGCATATGTGTGCGTTACTTAGAGAAAAAGGCTATAGAAAGAAGGTCGCTGCTTAGGTTGCCGAGAATACGTAAATTCCCCTAGATTGATTTTTTTTTTTTTTCCTTTGGTTTGTTTTTTCCGTCGATCTTGTTTTCCGTGCTGAGCACCAATGCTACCGACGTGCCAGGAAGGCAGCTCCCACACCTGGACCCTACCTATCGACCCATCAACTCATGAACCGGGGACCAACGGCTTTACTTCCCATCCGAAGGAAGGCGTGATCAGAGATGTTATGCCTCAGAACATCCCGGCGGCGCCGACTGGGATTGAACCCAGGCCTGCTGGGGTGAGAGGTAATCACGCTTACCACTACACCACCGGCGCCGTTGGCTTGAATGTTCTGTCGGAACTTTATTTGAACTTTATGGAACTTGGAAGTGTTGAATGCGGAACTTTTGGTTACTTGGGTGGTAATTGAAAAGTTATAAAAATGTACACCAATCCCAGTTCAAATAGCCCTGAATTTATCCATAATATGGATAACATCCAATGGATAACATGAAGGAGAAAGAGGAAAACAGAACATAACCCTAATAAAAATTGTATGGTTAATTTGCTTAACGACGTGTTCTGGGTATCATCCAAACCATTTGTGGAATAGTTCAATGATTAGGGTTATCGTTCGTTTATGGTTATTTTTTATTAGGGAAGTCCTCTCGTATCCATCTTTATCGGTTAGAACGATGCCGTTACGGGGAACTTGGTTTCAGACTTTTTTCATGGCTTACAATTTCTGAATCATAAATTAAGATATGATTCCCACTTATGTGGATAGATCTTTTAGCGTCGAACAGTGAACTGTATGATTATCAATCCATAAAATAGTCAGCCCTATTCTTAGAGTTGTGTAACTCTGTATGTATTGCGGTGCAGCTATTGAAAAATACTTTAAAAAGTCTACCTTCCTCGTTTATCAGGGGAGAAGAATCGTTGACGTCTTAAAGGAGGAAAATAATTCTCATGCTCAGACAATTATTATTTTATAATGGACAACACTGCTTTTTTGTTCGAGCAAGATGAAGTGAATAATAAACAAATTTAATTTTAATGCAATATTTTACGTTACACTACAAGCACATCTTAATTAGAATACAAATAATAATGTTGTATATCATCTTAGATTATGGAATTGTAAATATGCACTGGAGAATTCGGATTAGAGATGCCTCTGGTTTGGATGTCCTTACTTACCATGCGCACCATGTTGGTACATGGGAGCCGCATGCGAACCTTGATCAGAATGAACTGAAGTCTTTGGATGAGCGCTGAAGATAACCCGTAGCTTTTGTAGTAGCCGCATGCCATCTACAGGACTAATTCTGCAAAAATATTAAACGAAACATGCAATTAATTGTCGATGTTTATTTTTATTTTTAGATTAGCAAACGTTACTTACCATTGTGACACTAGCATTCACTTTCTCACTTGCATTCACTTGCTAACTGTAATTACATTCACTGCACTTACTCAATCAGTTATTGTTTGAATAATCCTCGAAAATCGAACTCATTCGCAGTCAAACTCAACTTTGAAAATGGAGATTTTTTCCTGCGGCTCGCAAAGCTGCTACAGTTCATTCGCTGTCTCGCCTGCTGTTGCCTTTTTACTCACTTTTATCTGGTCAGTCATATAGTATTTTTCCACATCCTTGCTCTACTTCCATCTTCGGCAGCGTTGGCAACGGTGAAAAAGTAGATGCAGCGAATGCTAGGAAAAGGAATCTAATGAATGTGCACTGATCTAAAAAAGCTGTTCGATTCTTCACAGAATCCAATTGTAATTTAGATGAGTCGCACCCCTCGGGCTTGTGCCAAGTCAGGTTCTTACTAAAAAGTTCAAATTTTGGGAGGATAATCAGGGCCCAATTTGGAACCGTTTGAGCACTGTGGAGCGAAAACTTCGAATTTTGCTTCAGTCTGGTGAGGATGCAAAGAGAAAGTCGACGAAGAGAATCTGTCAATGTTACTTAGGACCTAATGTAATGTTGAACTTCAATTGGTCAGCAGCTTAAACTGTTTGTTGGGTATTACTGATCCCAAGAGAACTTCTCATTTTCAGAGTAAAAAAAGAAGAAGAAGAAAAGTCAGTACCGCAGTTGTCAAACACAAATTACTAAATTTCATTATGCACAACACAAAGTCAGATGAGAAATATTAAATAAATAAATAAATAAGTACTATCAAAGCTACCCCGTTTTACGGTGTATTAAAAATAAGCAAACTAACTTATGCCATTATTCACATCTGATTTAATTTTATGTATATTTTGTCAAAGTCTCATGATTTACCAAAATTACTAAAATTTCCGTTCTGCCGAGACACTACTTAAAGTCACTTCTTCAAAACCTTCTCAATGTTCCTCACGCTCAGTCTGCATTTTACGTGTCTATGCTGCAGGTCAGCACAATACCTGTAGCCGCTGGACCCGAGACGAGCACAAAGACACCCCTCTGGAAATAAAGAATTCACTTCAAGCCATCACTGGACCCGATTCGATCAACAATGGCCATCAGCCAAATAGCGAAACGATAAACGTGATGTAATGTTAGAAATGAAATGTTCCAGCAGACTGATGTCGGGCCGTTCATCGACGGCGCACTGGGGCAAACCTGCTCATTGATATGGCCGGAACGGCACTGAATTTTATTTCCCTTAATTACTCGCTCGCTCACCAATGAATACGCGACGACGACGACGACGATGATGATGATGATGATGGAACGGCGGACGAATTGAACATTTGAAAACTGTTCGGTAGAAAAGGCAATAAAAAATCAAAACATGCCCCAACAAAGACGTGGAGCAAGACTGAGGAAGGTTAGGGTACTTTAAATTCCGATTCGCAATTCCTGATGACGGTGAGATTCCCTAACTGCCGTCGCTTGGACTGCTTTGTTTTCTTTTGCCTACCGCTTTCTTGCACCTTTGGTTTCTAGGACAAATGAGGCGCACTTATGACGAAAAATTGCAATTGTAATGGTCCAGCATTTGCATATCTGCTGCAGTTAGTGGCATTCATCTTACCAGTAGCAACATCGGCCGTTGTTCCCGCCAGACTCCGCAACATCCGATGATTCCGCCGAGCAGTGCCAGGAGACCTGCTGCCAGAAGTGAATACGTTCCGATGGCATAGTTTGTCGTCGAGAGAAGCGAGATGTACTGATGCTTACAGAACACGGTCCACACCGTGACGCCCAGTATCACCAAGCCGGACATCTGGAAAATAGAGATAAAAATTGATAGAATAAGTGAGCGATGTACAGAAAGTAATTAATTCCAAGGTTCAAGTGCTGCACGGGACGCTTGAGTGAGGGGAAGCATAATTGGAAAATTTAGTATAGATTAGGTTTTCATTCTTGTACACGGCCGGTTAAACCAGCTCAAATTTGAGTTGCGTTCAGTTATATTCACAAAAAACGTGGGTCACTTTCAATGCTCATATTCGAGTAGATTTTTGAGGAAAAGCGAGGAAAATGTTACTCAGTGACATAAGTTTTTGTGATTTTGAGTGAAAAACCACTCAATTTTGTGTCGATCTTATCGGCCGTGTAACCAAACATCGGCGAACGGAAGGGACGATTACTGCTGGAAAAGCAGAAACGAATTCAAGTGTATTTCGTTGGCTCGGTGAAGTGCATCAAGTGGGAGGGAATTTCGATTTCGATGAGACAGACACGGTGAGTGATTGATTGCAACGGAGAAAGGTGTTGATGTCTGCACAGCAAATGGAAAGGTTTTTTTTTTATAGTAGGGGGTTGAGAAGCTGCATTTGATTGCGAAAATCGACATCTTAATCTCTAGTGTAATTACAGATTTTTTTTGAATGCTGATAAATCAAAAATTGAATTGAATCAAGTCGGTAATGCTTTATTTACTTTAGAAGTCAGTTGAACAGTGTAATATTACTTAATACATTTAATCAATTAATTTTTGTACTTTGGATCATTGGTATTGTTCTATAACAACTGCAGCAAAGAAATTCATAGACGGATTATTGCCAGAAGTCGTACTTACTACGGACTCTACAAGATCCTGATGTCTGGAAATTTTTGCCCCGTACTAAGTGTGCAATGTATAGTACACTGATAGGACCGGCAGGTCTTTACGGAATTTTGTTGATGATGTAATTTGAATGTTATTATTTTTTCCAAGCTACCGGTTGATCTAATGATCTGCGGTTGGTTCGGAGTAAACGAACATCACGATTCGACAAACCAAACTGGAAAAGAAAATTAAATTTGCTCATACACCATTGACTTGCATCCTCACTAGCGCCACCCAACAGCCCTTGACGTTCTGATCGCCTTGACCAAAAACATCACTCTTCTATATAATCAGGATTTGGAAGTGTAGTGGTACAGAATATGTGCATGCACATAAGCGCCATCTTGCGGCAGAATTCCATCTTAATATGTCCATCTTCTGGTATTTTCCCCCTCCTGATCAACTTTGTCGAAAACATCACCCGTACACGCAAACCAAAAATCTATTACAATGAATGTTAATTCCGTTTCCTATCATCCTCTGTTCATGAACATCGCAACGAATGCTAGAAATTTGTCCTCGCAGGCGATGTAATGGTTTTTTTGTCTTTTTTATTTCGTGTTCTATCTACGCTTTCGACTATACCAGTAAGCTTTTTATGTATAACATTGTAGAACGACGCACACACTTGCCTCGAATCTCTCCAGTAGAAAAAGCATACGAATTCGACTATGAGAGAAAATGAGCGCTTTGTGTTTGCTTTTAGGCTTTCCACATTCAGAAACATTGAGAGAGCAGCAGGTCTGATAATCGGTCGTTCGTGGTTCGAGTCCAGTCGGCAACCTGTTTTCTATTTTTTTCGACATAATTAATTTCACTAACTAATACACTCTACATTTTTCGGTCTCCAATTTACTTGCATTGGACCGCAGCTAGGTATATCGTATCCTCGGTTCATGCGCATAAACATCTTCTGATGTTGAATCCCACATAATTGTAAGCGAATCTTACATGCCTCGGTTGGGTGTATAAATATTCAGGATCTTGAGATATAACAATACAAAATATGTGCATGTGGGATGCTCACTAGTACCGCCTAGCGGGAGAATTTCGAATTGATCTGCCGACCATCCAGCAGTCCTTGACCTCCCGACAAACTTTTCCGAAGACATCATCATTCTAATTAAACAGGATCTTGAAATGTACACCCAATCGGGGGATGTAAGATTCGCTTACAATTATATGGGATTCATCATCAGAGGATGTTAGTGGAGACCGCATGAACCGAGGATGCGATATACCTAGATGCGGTCCAATGCAAGAAAATGGGAGACCGAAAAATGTAGAGTGAATTAGTGAGGGAAATTAGTTATGTCGAAAAAAAGACTGGACTCGAACCACGAACGTTGTGATTATCAGACCTATGCTTTCTCCTCTGCTCTCTCCATGCTTCTGAATATGGGAAGCCTAAAAGTAAACATGAAGCGCTCATTTTCTCGCATACTCGAATTCGTATGCTTATTCTGATGGAGAGATTCGAGGCAAGTGTGTGCGTCGTTCTACAATGTTATGCATAAAAAGCTTGCTGGTATAGTCGAAAGCGTAGATAGAACACGAAATAAAACAAAAAACAAAAAAACATTACATCGCCTGCAAGGTCAACTTCTAACATTCACTGCGATGTTCTTGAACAGAGGATGATAGGTAGTGGAACTAACATTCCTTGTAATAAAATTTTTGGTTTGCGTGTAGACTATAGTAGACTTTTTTGGAACCTACACACTTAATTTTTTCGCCGAGATTTCAACAGCCGAGTATTTCTGCAATTTCTTTTGCTGAGATTCAGTAAAACAATTGCCGAGACTCAGCTAACAAATAAAATTTTGCAGAGATGTCAGAAAAAAAAAATGCTGAGGTAATAGGCTGTTGGAGATTATACCGAGTTAGATTAAGTATGTATCCCCTATCCCCCTAAAGTATACGTAGACTTTCATAATTATAAAAAAAATTAATATTACTTCTTCCGGCTTGTTTGTTGGCCATAAAACTTAAGTTCAGATAAGCAATATTTTTGGTTATACATTACTTTTGTGAAAACATAAACACTTGATACGAAAGCAATTCAATATGATAAAATATCCACTCATTAGTTTTATGTAATCAAAACACCTTTTAAACGATTTTCACTAACACATTTCACCAATATCCAATTTTCAATAACTCAATCGACGAAGTCAAAGATGTTGATTTAAATTTTCCATTAAATACAAGGATAAACATTGAATTTAGCCTATTATTGTATACGGAGGAAAACAAAGCTACTTTACAAATTCTTTCAAACATGTACTAAATTGTCCCATAAAATCTTCAAAAATTTAAAACGCTTACAATGACTTCATCAGAATGCTTAAGCTTTTACGATCAGTTAAACAGATTTTGTTGGCCAAATACTAACTCTTGATAACATATAACCAGTTGGTTACAATCCGTGGATTTTCGTTTGTATAAGTTGTTGTTGTTTGGAAAATTCACGTTTTGTTAAACCTAAAACAGTAGACACACACAAGAGCGAGAGGGTTTGTGCCGCTGAAAACAACAACGTAACGTTACTGAAGGGAGGAATATCTTGGCTTTAAAATAACAATGGATGCGCAAATTGAATGATGAATAGCTAGCCATCTTAGATTTGGAAGATTAGGCAGAAGTAACCAGGCGTCCGTGTAGACCAGTTGAGTGTTAAGTGTAGTGCATATATAATACAACCCCCCCCCCCTTGTGGGGTTTGGGCTGGAAAGCCTACCTACGTTCAGGTAATTGATTTTTATTATCCTGACGGAAATTTCCCTGACTGAATTGTGATACTTCTCAGGACCTCTTGTGCTTTTGTACATTTTGTACACCTCGAACCGTAGATAATACGGTCTTACACGGCTCGGCTCGGAAGTCAAAATGGCTTCCGAGCCTAATAGTAAATGATCCTCGATTGTCCGTCAGGGACGATTCCCTCAGACCGGTGGCCTTAATTGCCAAGGAAGGTCCCTTCTCGGCTCGACCAAGGTGGCCATGACACGGTCAGCCGATGCCGTCAACGACGGAAGACGCCTGCCAGCCAAACGAGCCAGCAACGCCTGCTGAGCCGTATATGGCTGATGAACGCCACCAGATCCGCCATTCTCCCAAAGCGGCAACAACACTGTAAGCAGCCCGCGCCGCAAGATATGTATGGTATGGTATGTATGGAGGGCACCCCAGGTTCGTATAAGTTTAAAAGCAAAGACTAGGAACTTAAGGGGGTATTCCCGATCTTTTTTTTCAAAAAATCAAATTTTTTTTTTCACGTTTTTTTGTACTTTAGACTACATACTTTCATCCCCCCAAGCCGTTTTCCGATCAGCGAATTCGGTGTCCAGGCATAGCTGACTAATGGTAAGAACCCCCAAATGGTTTTAACTAAAGTCAAAACTTTAAACGCGTTTTTCTCGAAACCACATTTTTTTATCGGGCGAAGATTTTTCTCAGAAACTATAAGAGATATTGACTTGAATCTTTGCGCTTTTTGTTCCTTATTAAATTCTTTGGAGCTTCTCCCACTTTCAGCCAAAAATATTAACATTTAACATTGTTTGAAGCACCTTAAAGTTGCAAAAAAGCGGGCTAAAAATCGCCTGTTTTTTCATATGGCCGCCATTTTGTTAATTTGCAAGATTTTTTGCTGCCAACGGGAGAAGCTCCAGAGAATCTTATGCAGATTATAATTTCATCACGAAATCTGTTTCAGATGAAGCCGTTCCAGAGAAAAGTCTTCGCCCGTCCAGGCGTTTGCGGCGAACAGGGGTCTGTTTGTCGCCATTTTGTGACGTCAATAATGTCTTTTTTTATGTCGAAAAAAATTTATTTGTAAACTTTAATGTTCAATAAACAAGAATCCCAAAGAGTTAGGCGCATTACTATTGATTTTCCTTGAAAAAAAAAATTAATTTAAAAACAGGCCGAAAAAAGGCAAAAGATTGGGAATACCCCCTTAAGAGCATTTTTCCGCCCCTCAGGTTTTTGTTTGTGACTAATTTAATTTTAAATGTATGGTGTTTTCCGATTCATGAACAGATTCTTGTCAAAAATTCATGAGTTTGATGCGTCACGTCACATGAATCAATTACTTCTGTACACATGGTTCAGAACGGGTACACGACGTTAGGCATACGTACGTTCGGCCTAATGTACGATAGGCATAA